TAATGCTGTAGGATTATTTATAAGAAGCCCTCCATCCTGTGAATAAAATAATAACAGTAACAAAAATAATGCAGGATGTTAAGAGTTGTTGGAAATAATAAAGTAGATATAGCAATATCACAACAGTTTGACAAGGATACCAGTATCTTTTTTGTTGCCAGTAAAGCAAAGTTAACAGAAGAAAGTAAATGTCACACATTTTTCCAAACATTGAGCTCTATCATTTATAGACATTCTCTAACAGCTGTAAAAAAAAAGCAGCATGCATTTGAGATTGGATAATTGTGTTAAAAAGATCAGCATCTTACTTTCCGCATTTCTCTCTCTCCATGCATCCCTTAAATTAAATTCTTCTGTTATTCGAAGGAAGGATTTTGGTAGTATCTTTCCAACTTTCTTTATTGTTTCTGTGTTTTATAGTCCAACCGGTCATTAATTATTCCATTAAAATCACCCAACATACAGATATTAACATAGTCCAAATCAATTATTTTTGTATGTAATTTCCTATAGAATTCTTCTTGTTTATCATTCGGGGCATAAATTGCAATTAAAAGTATTTTAACGCTGTTATCCATTATCTTCACCATCAAAATCCTTCCATCATCATCTGTATAAATTAATTTTGCCAAAATTGTTTCTTTAATACATAATGCCACGCCTTTTTTTTCCGATTGTGCCAGCGATGTAAATAATTTCCCTAATTTCCCTTGTTTTAGTATATATTCATGTTGCTTTTTAATATGTACCTCTTGTAAGATTATATCAAATTTTAATTTATCTAATTTGTGAAATACTTTCCTTCTTTTAATAGCCAATTAAGTCCATTTATGTTAATCGTAATCAATTTTCTTTCATCCATGTTAAGCTTTATAAGAGGGTTTTATTGCTCTAGTAGATCTCAATTCTCGTTGTTCTCTGGGTTCACTGCCTACTGCACCTTCTTCTTTTTCTTTTTCAATTACTGCTATACACTCCTCTTGGAATTCAATTAGTAACTCTTCCTTTCTTTCTTCTTCCTCCTTTTCTCTAAGTATTCTAAGTAGAATAGCTCAGCTTTTCCAACTGTGTCAATTCTGTGTCTTTGTTCCTGCCAAGTGAACAAAAGGCCTTCTGGCATCAACTATCTGTAGTTTACTCCTCTTTTAGGTAGCTCTTTAGTCAAGAATAAATATTCTCTTCTCATCTCTCTTACTCTTCTTGGTATGTGTTTCAGCACCACAATTTCTTTATCTTTATCTTTTAGTGTTTTCTCTCTCGCCACCTGGAGTATCTGTGTCTTAATAATCTTCTGAGTAAATCTGATGTGAACTTCTCTTGGTAGTCTATTCCTCATTGCATATCTTGTGTAGACACGAAACTCTTCATCCATCCCATCCATCATCTTTTCTTTAGTTATTTCCAGTGCTTCTGACAATATTTCTGCCATTATTTCAGCAAGGTTTTAACCTTTCCCTTCTTCTATATTTTGAAATCTTAAGTAGAATTCTGATTTGTCTATTTCCCATCCTAACGATTCACCCCTGCCCTTCTCGATATCGCTCAAGTGAATATCAATACCTCCAATTCTCTTATCTCTTTGTATATCTTCTTCAATTTTTTTTATCTGTCTTCATATTTCATCATAATCTGTTTAATATTTTCCACTTTTTCATCTGTCTTTTTGATTTTTTGCTCAATTTTCTGAATTCCTTGCATGATCATCTGTAATGTCACTTCCTTCTCTTTCTCTTTTTCCTGTTGTAATATTGTCTGTATAGATTGTTGTCCTCCAGATGGTGAGGGGGTTGGTATCGAAGAAGCTGGGGCTGTTGTCTTTCTACTCATCTTGTAATGCTTATCTGTAAAGAAAGAGAGAGAAAAAAAGAAAAAAGAAAAAAAAAGAGGAAAAAGGAAAAAGAAAAAAACCCGAAGGCAAACAGTTGCCACTCCAAAGGAAAAAGAAACTCTTCAGGCACTTGTATACCTTAATCCAATTATTTGCAATGGTAGATGTAAAAAAATCAAAAGGAAAAAAGAAGCAATTCTCATATAAAACAAGCCTCTGCCGCCAAATATCCAAGGCTCTTTGATAAATCAGCTCAGAGTTTTTCAAGGCCACTTCAATCTTCTTTCTTTCAACTTCAACTCCAGACTCTAGCTATCTGTTTGGAAATGAGCACCTGAATAAACAAACTGCCATGCTCATCTCTATCTTTTCCAATACACAGCTCAGAGTCCTTGTTTGTAACACAAACTAGTGAAAGAAAAAAGAAACAATGTATCCAAGCCTCTGGGCGGCAGTGCTACTTCACTTTCACTTCCCCCTCCTCAATTTACAACCAGGAACTAAAAGGAAAAAAAGTAAAATCTCCTCCCCCCCCTTTTTTAAAGGGAGACAAATAAATCTTAAATCAAGCAGAAGAGTCTTAATCAAAAAAAGAATTTTCAAAAGGATTGTTAAAAAAGGAGAAGGAAATACAAACAGAAATAAAAAGATTAAAAAGTACCAGTCAATTTTAAAGTAAAACAGCTTTGCCAAGGTCAAAATTCAAATAAATAGGGGAAAAAAGAACAAAACTTTCACTTTGACAATTAATCACTCCACTTAAACTCTTTCCTCTTCACTTTTAGTCCACTTTCATTTTTTCAGGGTGTTCTCTCCAAGAAATAATAAGTAAAAGTTCATCTCAACAAGCTGACACACTTTCTTCCAATCTCTTCTGTTCCGGAGCTACCCAGCTTCAGCAGCTTGGAAGGCTGCCTCTCCGCCACCGGCAAAAAGGGCTTTCCCTGGATCAACCAGGGACTTTGTGATGTCCCTGGGATCAATAGGACGTGCCCTTGTCAATCACCGTCTCTACGGGATGGTTTAGATCCATGGGGACCGACCAGCAGCTGAGATATTGACGGTGATCTTGGAGAATCAAGATCGCCCATCCAACCGCCGCGACGCCAGCTCCGCCCCTGGTCTAGAATAGATATGATATGGATGTCAGCAGAATTATTGACTAATGTACAACAGATTGAAATAGAAACAAGCACATGGGCAGATCATAATCCAGTATCAATTATTTGGAAAGGATACAAGAGGAGATCTAGATGGACTCTAAATAATATGATTCTGAAAGAAAAAGACTTTAAACAGAAAATAGAGAAAGAACTTGTTTTCTTCTTCAAAGAAAATAGAAAAGAGGATACATCTTTACAGAATCTCTGGGACACAATGAAGGCCCACACAAGAGGCTTGATAATAGATTATACTAGGAGAAGAAACAGAAAACAGAAAAAGACATTTAAGACATTAGAGGATGACTATAAAAGACTGGAAAAAGACTTACAGAAGTCCCCACAAAAAAAGACATTAAAAATAAAATGGATATAATTAAACATAAAATGGGACTAATGGAAAAAGAGGAATTAGCACAAAAAATTAAAAGTGCGAAACAGAATTACTTTGAAGATGCAAATAAACCTGTCAGTCTGTGCTCCATTCAAAATCCAAGAAAGAAATACTCAGACTCCATAGATTAGAGCAAAGTTTTTCTTTTACTGAAATTCAAAGTGGAAGCTACAGGTAGAATTCTGAATCTAAGGAATTTGGCGCGCAGATCACATATACAAAGGGATGGAATTGTTCCCACCCCCCAAAGTTCAGAAGATTCTTCCAATTAAAAGTTCTGGATATGATCATGTGGGCATCTTCAGGTGGTGATGAGGCCTCTGTCCGTTGACCTTGACATATTTTGATAAAGATTCGCAGCTGCGCAAAAGAAAGAAGGCTAAGCAAGGAAATAGAAACTTAAGAGCAGGAATTCATACTCCCCCCCCCACTCATTTATACAACACAAGAATGTAACACCTCCAGCTCTCTTCCCAGACACAATCCCTCCTCCCCCCGTTACTCATGGCAGCCGAAAGATGCAAAGTAATAGAAAAATAGAAAAGATCTTGAACGCTGACAAAACCAGGCAGATGGCTAGCTTATAAACTGAGAAATGAAAGAGAAGCAAGAAGAATTAGCCAATTGATAAATAAAGGACAGGTTTGTACAGAAAAGAAGAGAAGAAAAAAATTATACAAGATTACTATGGAAAACTATACTTTCAAGAGAATATTCAAGAAGAAAAAATCAAGCAATATCTTCAGAAAGAGAACTTACCTCAGATACCCAAAAATATTGAAACAATGTAAGAAGGAAGTATAACAATGATGGAACTAACAGAAGCCTTTACAAAATAGAATGCTGGGAAAGCTCCAGGTCCAGATGGGTTGCCAGCAGAATTCTATAAGACTTTTCAGGAAATATTGAATTTTCATCTTCTAGAAGTTATGAATGAAGTTATGTTAAAGAAAAGAATACCAAAAACATGGTCAGAAGTGTACATTACACTTATACCGAAGGAAGGTACAGACCTGCAGCAAGTTAAAAATTATAGACCTATATCTTTATTGACTATAAACTCTTTGCTTCAATTTTGGCAGAAAGACTAAAAAGATACTTAAATAATTTTATTCATACTGATCAAAATGGATTTCTGCCAAAGAGACAAATCAAAGACAATGTGAGAATCATTCTGGATACTCTGGAATATTATGAAGCACACCCTTAGAAGCAAATGGCCTTGATGTTTCTAGATGCTCAAAAAGCCTTTGACAATGTAAGTTGGTGATTTATTTTACTGCAACTGATACAAATGGGCTTTGGTAAGAAATTTATCCAAGCCATTTAAACAATATACCATGAACAAACTGCAAAGGTGATGGTGAATGGAGAATTAACACAATCCATAGATATAAGAAAAGGGACAAGGCAAGGTTGTCCACTGTCGCCTCTGCTGTTTGTGTTAACATTGGAAGTGTTGAACAGGGATATTAAAGAAGAAAAAGAAATAAAAGGAATAAAAATTAAAAAGGAGGAGTATAAATTGCAAGCTTTTACAGATGACATGGTATTTATATTAGAAGACCCAATGGAAACAGCACCCAAATTAATAGAA